CCACAACACAGACCTGAGTGTGGGGCCTGACGCCCTGCAGGTGGCGCTCTGTACCCCTCAGGACGCCCGGCAGGGAGAACATCTCAGATGAGGCCCTCTGGCACTGAACCTCAGAACTGTAAGACACAGGGACCCGTTTTCTTTATTAAGTGTCCTCCCCTCATGTATTTTGGTACAGTAACGGAAATCAGTAACAGCCGGGTACAGAACTCTCCTCCACCTCCCGCTCTACCTCTGATTTCTCCACGGCTCAGAGACGCCCCTCTGTTCCTCTTCCTTTGCACTCTTCTCTTCTCATCACCCCACTGTAGGTTAGGATCTCTGTTCAGATTTACAAGTGTGGGTTAAAGAAAGGTTCTCTCAGCAAGACCAGAAGAGAAAAACCACACAGAACAGTGAAATTCACCCAGGTCAGAAACAATATACTAATGCATGAGCGTGACCAAACTCAAAATCACATGGAAAATACCAGGACAGTGAGGCAGCGTGTGTCAGTGCTGCTCAGCTGAGGCCGGAGGACCCGCCACAGTGGAACAACTTGCTATCCTCACTCACTTCAGCAGCAGAGGATGCGGAGACCTTGGAGAGTCAGGGGCCGGCTTAGTTCAGCAGAAGGGAAAAAACAGTTCAGGACTGGAGCTTCAATTTGGGGATCTCAGGGAGACCTGAGGACTCAGGTGCCTGCCCTGATGAGGATGTCGTCACCACACGGCTGCGGGGCTGTGACGGAGGCTCGGTGACCGGCGCCCGTCATGTGTGCAGGGCAACCGCAGACGCAGCTACAGCTGAACAGGAAAAACTTCACCCACGTCAGCCAGGATGACCAGATGCTGGGTTTTTTTCAGTACAGAGACCTCAGCTGGAAAATAATGAATATTAGCAAGAACCTTGAAAATAAGAAATGCAGCTGTCAAGTGCATTAGTAAGAAAAGTGAACACAAATGCAAACATGAAATTGGAGTTGGAATGAAAATTAAAATGCATCAGTTTGTCAAGGATGAAAGTGAAGGATGTGTCTGGGCCTGAGAGTAGGGAAATCAACTGCTACAAAGGAAGATGAAATAAAAACTAAAGGAGCTTTTGCCAAGCATGGTAACAATGTAACTGTGTTTACATTTCCGTGGAGGAATTTCTCTCGGAGGAACTGTCCTGAGAAGAGTATCACACATGATCTCAGAAACACATGTTCAAGCGCACAGGTCAAGAGTATTCTTGAATTTGATTTCCAAAGCCAAGGAATGGAAACAGTGCACATGTCCTGATCTCAGGCCAGTGTGCCCCGTGTAGTCCTGAGAGGGGGGCCGGAAGCCTGGGGGCAGCTCTGTGAAGACCCCTGTGATGTTGTACAGACCTGGAAGGGGGAGTCAAGTGACAGGGGTCGGCTGCAGGGCACCGGGGACCTAGCTGTCTGGGGCGTGCAGACTTGTCGTCCTCTGAGGTTTGGGCATGACTGCATCCATGCGTGTGGCCTGTTTCCTTGTCCCAGGACACTGTGTGAGCAGGAGGCGGCCAGACTTGGTGCTGAGGGCTGGTGTGGCTTCCGTGTGCACAGCACACTGACGGGCAGCCTCTGCCAGGTTCCAGGGCCTCTGCTATGCAGAGATGATCCAGACACTGTTGGTAGAATGAAGAGCAAAAGCAGGGTGCTCGCATGTTGCTACTTGCAATATCTTTTTTTTTTCTTTTACATGTAAAAATGTTTAGTTTAATAAATTTTCATATGAAGAGTATCTTCATAACCCACATTCTGATTGACAGAACTTTTCCAGCCACCCTCAAAGCCCCTGTGTGCCCTGTCCTAATCATAGCTCTCTTTCTACTTGATTTTATAATAATCACTTGTATGCATTTCTTGATGGTTTTATTACCAACTGTATGCCCCTACACAGTATAACAAGGTCTTTTTTTTTTTTTTTTGGTACTGGAAATGGAACTCAAGTCCTCGTGCTTCTCAGGCAGGTGCTGTCCCACTGAGCTACATCCCCATCCCTATAATCTGGCCTTGTGCATTTTAAATTGTATATTTTCCCAGTATTGGACAGAAAGATATAAGAAAACGAGTCACATTACAGCAACGGTGCCATTAACATATCTATGCAGTGTAGAGTGGAGCTGCACTGCAGGAGCAGGGAGTTCAGAGACTGCTGCCTGATATGATAGGGCCGAGACCCACACAGAACCAGACCAGAGCTTCGACGCGAGAGGAGTCTTTTTTTTTGTTTGTTTGTTTTTGGTTTTTCTCCGGTACCAGGAACCGAACTCACGACCTTGCGCTTGCCAGGCAGGCGCTTTTGCCGCTGAGCTAAATCCCCAGCCCCCGACAGGAGTCTTTATTGGGAGGAGCAGCACGGTGGGCTGCTCAACGGACTAGGACAGCAGCAAGTTGAGCAAAGCATGGGGTCTGTAAGCTTTTGGAGAGGGTGTTTTTGGGCCAGAACATTTTTCTGGATGGGGTGTCAATGGGCCAGAACAGCCTGAACAGGGTGGGTTGCTCATGGGTCAGAGCAGCCCGAGCAGGGGGTGTCCATGGGCTGGAACAACCCAAGCAGTGGGGTGTTGTACGTCAGAGTTGAACGTCTGGCTCTGCTAAGGCAGATGAGGGTGAGGCTGGCTTTTGTCGAGGGGAACTGGAGGGGAACAGGTGAAGAGGAAGGAGTTTTTATTAACTCCTTAGTAAAAGAGCTTAAATCTCTCACGATGCGGGGGAGGGGTTTGCTTTGCGACTTATCATTCCAGACTTGATCTAATAGGGATAGGGGTGACGTTTCTTGTCGTAGCTACTTCCTGCTGAGGAGGGGCCTAGTTAGGTTTGTTTTAGGGTGTTTCCTCTGGATCGTCAGTTGGGACCGGCTGAAATTGGAAATCTGAAAGAAGCATAAGGTCAAAATTTTGAGTTGTTAATTTTTGGACTGTGTTGCGAATGAGGGAGAAAACGCAGGGTGCTGAGAGGAGAAGATTACAAATGGCGGCGAGTCGTCCCAACAGCAGGAGCAGCCAGGGGAGGAGGCTCGTCCAGATACCTCCTGATGGGAGAGAAAAATTTATTTTGGAGTTGTGCTTGATTTTTAAGTAGTTGGATTTTTTCTTGGACAAGCCCCAACTGGTTGGCATAAGTGCAGCATTCTTCTACCAGGAAGAGGCAGGTTCCACCTTTTTCAATGGTGAGTAGGTCTAGTGCCCGTCTGTTTTGGAGGACGACTTTGGCAAGCTGGTCTAGCTGGGAATATATCAAGGAGAAAATGTTGGCAGTCTGGTTGACATGATTTGCCAGCTGGTTGGTCAACTGGAGGTTGAGAGCAAACAAGGTTACAAGGCTAGAGACTCCCAGAGCTCCTGCCAAGACTGACTCTCCCAGGATTACCCCGATGGGGACACTACGTCGGGAGTGCCCAGGTGGGTAGAGGAATCAGTTGGTGAATTCCCCATCTGTATAGATCTGTAGATTGGGGAGGGGGAGAACTGGGAGGCAGGTCATTTGGGGAGGGTAGCAGGGATAGAGGGAGGAGTTGCAAAGGAAGTGAGGGTGATGGAGGGGAAAACTGGAGCCTGAAATATGAGGCAGGGCTATAATCTGATGCAAGGAAGGGAGCTAGGGGAGCTGGTTGATCCACAGCAGGTGAGGTTAGCCCTGGGGGAAAGATAGAGCCGGGGGACGAAGTGGAAGTTGGTTTGTGCATTGGATGGTGGAATTGTGATACCATGGGATAGTCACTACCGAGGTGTCCATTAGGAGGCACAGATCTAGCATTCTGTAAGGCTGAAAGGGGTTTGGTGGACAATTTGTAATAACGTCCTAGTAAAATTAGCCAAGGTGGGAATACGAGGTAGGCAGGAGTTAAGCTGATTTTGAATTTTTTGTAGATCTGGAGAGAGGGTTGGGGGGGTGTACAGTTGGTGACAGATGTGGACAAGAAGGCAGGGGTCAGTGCCGTAGACATCTATACAAAGGTAGAAGGTAAAGCTCTCCCCCCAAACCTCATCCCAGGGGTCCTTGATGATGGTGCAAGTGGGATTGCAGGTCCCCTGTGTACATAGGCCAAGG